GAGCCCTTTTTTTCTGATTTAGCCACTAAAAAATGAGCAGCTAATGCTAAATGGTAGGAAGTGGAGCTACTTCCTGCATTTACTCTAAGGATAGTGACAGTTTATCGGTAACATAACACCACCCACACCCAGTTTACTGCAACTTCACCTAACTTTACTGTCTAAATTGGTTTTGAATACTTCATAAGTTGAAGTTTATCACTCATAAGTTATATATTTATATTGATACAATGTGTAACTTGGGACAGAGGCAGTGTTTCCTGCAGTGTTATCGAGGCTTGCACTGTTGCTGCCTCATGCTGATACATGTTGTAAAATAATGCTTTGCATTCCTAAAGCTGACGATGTGGCCAGGAGCTTACACCTCCAGCACTACTACAGTGAAAATAAATAAATAAATAAATCCGTACTAACGAGACGAAAGGATGAAAGAATTTAAAGCCTGCTTTTAAAGTTAGAGTTAGATATTTATTTCTGATAGTGCTGTCTTTATCAGATATAGACTCAGATTGTTGCACTGTGTTATGGAGAATCAGTGTCTGCGTCCTGGAGCGCTTTCTGGGCTGTGAATGGAGAGACTATTCAGGAGCACAGTTAAACTGGGTTACTCATTGTTATGCCCCTCTGCCCTTTCAGCTGGTCAGCCCATTTGTAGGTCAGTGCCAGCTGCAGCCTGGAGGCTTAATAACCCTGTCTGCCTGACAGACGGCATCACTGGCACACTGCACTATAATGTGGCTGTGAGATTAGGATGTAGGGCTGGTTAAACCTGTGAAGGTCATAAATGAGTGATACTGCTACTTCTCTATTGACAGTTAACTTCCACCTTACTATGTGCTGCCTGATTGTGTAAAGCTCACCAATACTCAACAGCCCTTACTGAGTATTACCTTATGAGAGCACTAGTACCTGCCACAACTGCTTCACTCTGGGGGCTTTGACACCACATGCTTACACTTGCATTCTGGCTGCTAAGAAAAGCCCATGGGCAACATACCCTGCCTGCCATCTAAGGAGTGGTCAAAATAGAGCCAACAAGTCTGCAGCCAAGAAAGCTAGAAATCTGCTCTCTGCTTCGCTCTAGTGGCTATTTGCAGGGTTTTCACGTTTCATAGACATCACCTGTTATATCTTAAAAGATTTAAAACACAAAAACAAAACATGCAGCAGATTTGGTTACTAGAGATTAAGGAGGCTGTTGTTATTTGTCTCTACCGGAGTTCCTTTTACGCAGGGAGGGAACTAAACCCCCCGAGTTACACCCTATTTTACATGTTGTGACAAAGTTATTGTATTTATTTCTAGGTCCGCATTGCAGCTAATTTTGTGATGCACTCTCCTCCTGGAGAGTTCAATGAAGTCTTCAACGGTGAGCCTCATTTGTGATTGACATCTTCAGGACTATCTGCATTTTAAATGGTATGAAACAAGTTGTCGATGCTTTTCTTATGTTAATTCTTCTTCTCAGATGTGCGGATACTCCTCAACAATGATAATCTTCTCAGAGAGGGGGCAGCTCAGTGAGTCTCATTAGTTTTTTTGTTTTTTTTTTAAACTTGTAATATAATGATGTTCTGGATATACATGCAACTTGGGGTTTCTGTTATTTTTTTGATACAGTGGCTTTGCCCAGTACAACATGGACCAGTTCACCCTTGCCAAAATTCAGGGATATGAAGATCAGGTAACCTTGTTCAGTAATGTACTTTTCTCATTAAACCTGCTAACATTTATTATTAATTATTCTTCTATGTTCGTAAGAAAATACCTGAGTAAAGAGCTATAGTAACAGCAGGTTTGTCTGTCTGTTTCGCCTTTAGGTCCTGATAACGGAGCACGGAGACCTGGGTAATGGCCGCTTCTTTGACCCTCACAACAAGATCTCCTTCAAGTTTGACCACCTCAGAAAGGAAGCCAGCGACCCCCAGCCCCATGAGGGCGAGGCAGCCCTCAGGTCATGGAGAGACGCCTGTGATTCTGCCCTGAGAGCCTACGTCAAGGAGCACTACCCCAGTGGAGTTTGCACCGTAAGATCCCTCGCCCAATCTGCAACGTAGCCGCCATGTTCAACATTACACATGATCCATCATCCTCATCCTTCTTTATCTGCTTCAGGTTTATGGGAAAACAATCGATGGCCAGAAGACCATTATTGCTTGTATCGAGGGTCATCAATTTGAGCCTAAAAACTTCTGGTAAATTGACGGAGGACAATGATCTAATTTTAAACTTCCTAATCAAATTCACTCTGACAATTATGTTGGCGCAGTGTAGAGGCAATGAGGTGTTATTGTGTTAGGAGTGTTTGGAATTGGTTCTCAGGTTTCCTCTTCTGCATTTTCTGTTTCCAGGAACGGTCGCTGCCGGTCTGAATGGAAGTTCAGTGTCTCGCAATCTACAGCACAAGTGGTCGGGGTCATGAAAATACAGGTATGTTGAGTAATTAACAGGTATTGTATGAGCTTAGCTCTGAAGTTGGTTTTGTTTCACTGTTGTCTTTATTTGCTCTGTTTATCCAAGGTTCATTATTATGAGGATGGAAATGTGCAACTGGTCAGCCATAAAGATGTACAGGAAGCACTGACTGTGTCTGTAAGTATTTTAACTTATTAATAGTTTTTCTAGTTTAAACATATTTATGATGTGTGTTTGATTTGTTAAATTAACCCACAACTATGTGTTTTGGCAGAATGAGAGCCAGACTGCAAAGGAGCTTGTGAAAATTATTGAGGACGCAGAGAATGAATACCAGGTATGTGTGATTTAAGAATAAGAAGAGTTGCCCCCATTAGTGAATGAAAAGTTTTTATTATTGAGCTTTATATTAAGCCATAAACATTTTCAAACAACACCATACAAATTCCATCCCCCAAAAAATCAATAAATAAAATAAAAAGGAATCTAATTAAGTCATTGTCACATTCAAATTTTAGGACCATCATGTATGGATGGGAATCTATAACCAGTTCCAAATAGTTTGATCCATGAGGATTGTATGTCTCCGAGCTGTTCAGTTCCTTTTATCAGTTGCAACAATTACATCAAACTCAGGCATCTGTGCTGCTGGAAACATGCAACAAGAAGGACTCATGATGGAAGAAGAAACGGTCCAAAGCGCCTTTTTAGTGCTAGCTGTAATGCATATAAAATTATCATTTTAAATCAGGGTGGAAACACCAGCAATATGCTGAAACATCTTTCTACGCAACATGGGTTTAAATCAGGAATGTATTTGATACACACAAGGGCCCAACCCTCATCTGTTAAACCTTAATAAAAACAAATTCTCTCATTTCATCCATTTAAGATGACATAAAATTGATCAGCAATCAGTAAGGGAATTTATTCTTATTCTCTTATTATTGATAATGGCAAAACTCAATTTCCTCTTCTTACACATTCTGTTTTGCTTCAGAAAATGTCCAGTTACCAGAACTGATGACTGATGTGCTTATCTTGTCTTTTCAGGTGGCCATCAGTGAGAACTATCAGACCATGTCGGACACCACATTTAAAGCCTTACGCAGACAACTCCCAGTCACCCGTACCAAGATTGACTGGAACAAGATCCTCAGCTACAAGATTGGCAAGGAGATGCAGAACGCTTAAAGGGGTTACGACAAACAAATTGAAGAGAAGCCAATGCTCGCGCAAACATGTGTGACGCAACATACCGTACTGTATGTCCTAAAAGAGACATTTGTTCTGGGTTTTTTTTTTCCTTTTTTTCCAGAGAATGACAGCTTCCATTATGCACTACGAGGGGATGCCTTCATTTTAAAATAACATTGAGTGGTGTAACTGTCGCTCATTCGCAAACGCATATTATTTTGTAACAAATAATGCCTTTGGTGACACTGTGAAATTTTGGGTCATTGCTATTTGAATTCTCACAATCACACGGTTCAACACACAGTTTTCTGATCCCACAGTGCTTCAAATGGACACACATTCTCCTAAAACCCCTCAACTTCTGTGTAGCAACTAATTTCTCTCTTTAAAACATAACTGATATTCTTTAAGAGCTTCCAATACCTCTATAGTTTTTTTTATTAACAGAGGGCAAATACTGTATGCAATTCGATATGTTGGCCGGGAAGACACGTGACAACGCCAAATTATACCATTTTATATTTTGAGCCCACCTGTTTTTATTTATGCATCCCTCTGGACGCAGGGTTGTAGCCAGCGGACATGCCAAAGCATACGTTTTTCTTTACCATTCACTGACTGTGTTTTGTCTTCCCCCTTTTTAAATTTAGTTGCGTCTCTTCCCTTGGTTGTAGAGACGTTTTTGGTGATAATCCCTCTTTACCCCCCTGGACTGATAAAGTATTGTTGTCCTCCTGCCAGCTGTTTGCCTTTAGCTTTTGCTATATTTTTTATACAAACTGTAAGTACATTTATTATTCATGAAATAAAAATATGATCTTCAAGGGATGCTAATCATTTGTGTGTTTGAGCTCCAGATATTTTCTTCTGGGTTTCTTTGATTGTTCATTGGAGGAGGAGAATTTTGCACTCTACTCACTCTATTATTTTTCTTTTAGGCTAAAAACCAAATTAATTAAATTAAAGGTTTTAATATTCTGCACTAGAATTAGATACTTAACACTAGAGCATAATAGTGAGATACAATTCAGAATATATAATTAAAATTTTAGGTGAATAAATAAAATGTAAAATGTGTGAATTTAATATAAAACCCTTAATCATCAAATCTATTCATAAAAAAAGTCCTGGCTGCATGAATATATTTAGCAAAAGTGTCATATTTATGGCATTATCAATATATGTACCTGTAGCTGTGCCATGCAGACCAAATTTCATGCTTTATAATAAAGCATAGACAATGTGCCACTCAACACTGTGTATGCTATGTTGGTATAATACATCTGTCTTGGCTACAAATGTCATGTTTCATGTCAATAACCATGTAAATGAAGAATACTGTGAACACCTGAAATGATAAGCCACTTAATCACTGTCAACTCAGAAAATCAACCAGCAATTATTTTTATTAAAGACATTTTTGAAGCAAAAATACCAAATATTTGATGATTCCAGCCTTTCCATTGGAGGAGTGATGCTTTTTTTCTTGTTTTACACCAGAGCGAAAGGACTATTTCTGTAATTTGAACAGTTGAACAAAAGAAAAGTATTAGAAGAACTCACCAATTGCTCTTAAAAGTTGTGCAGGGTATTTTTGACAACATTTTGAAGTTCATAGAGATTAGATTAATTGAGAAAATGATCTATAGATGATAAAATAATGAAAATGAATTGTTTGAAGCTCTAATTTTGATGATCAATGAATGTGTGTCCAAATGTTCAAATATGAAGATATCCTGCTTTTCACTGTTATTTATCATTGCAAGCTAAATTTATTGGTTGGACAAAAATGACAATCTGAAGAATTCAAGATGAAATAAAAATAAAAATAAACCCACAAACAACAACGGGGCTATTAAATATTAATCGATTACTGAAAGAGTCCTAGTGTCAAAATATACCACATTATTTGGATTTTCAAAGCTTGCCAGTCCCAGTACATATTATCCATGCTTTAATGCAGCTATGTGTATTATATTATATATTATAATGTATATGAAAACATGACAGCACACTGTACACACTGCTCTGAACCTGCTCAGCTGGTGATTATGTAATAACTGCGGTTTAGGGAGTGTCAACAAAACACCCAGAGAAGATACTTGTGTGTCATATAAGACCCGTAGTGCAATTCAAACTTCGGATAAACTTTCTCAGGTATATAAACACACTAAGTTGTACACTAAATGGTGTGGACAATGTATTTACTCTGGTATAGAAAGCTGTTTTCGCTCCTCAGCTGTCAAACAGTTGCAGACGCTCCCTTAATGACACCGTTAGGGAGCGTCCATCAGCTACAAATTTGCGCCAAACTGCGCTAAATAGTTGACTTATATATCATTTAATCGACAGTTTAAACCTAAAAATGAATGAGAAATCGATGGCCAGCGTAAAAAGTTAAAACGTCCACGCTTGGCGAATACGCGCAAAAAGTCCCGCAAAACACGTAACGCGTAAAAATCCCCTTACTGCCAGAGCGCGTTCACAGCTCCAGCTACTAATACTTCAGGAAATTGAGGGTTGATGAGTTGGTCAGCCGATGAACTTCCTCATTTGAGTCAGTCGATAGTCAGAAGCAGCGGCCTGTGACACGCAGACATGTCGCTTATAGTCTGTCTTGAATCCGGACTGGACTTCATTGAATTTCTGGGAGACAGAATATCCAACACCAGCAAGAATGAACTTCGTCGCATCTACAACAGTGAATTTAGGGGCAGGTAGGCTGCAAAAAACGAGCGTGTGTCACATGGTGTTGTTAGACTGTACTGTGTATTACACGACTCACTCTATGTATGTTTATGTCCACAGAGAAGGAATAAAAGACCCCAATTTTTCTAGTGTTCTTTACGCCCTTGTGAAATTCAACAAAGTCCAAATTAGACAGGGGAACATCTTCATAAATGTCAAACCTCAGGTAAGATGTCTTTTTTTTTTTTTTTTTTTTTTAAATGGGGAACAAGACTGGACATGTTTTGTCTTGTGCTGCAATTATTTATAGCCTATCCCATATACCACAGAAATAAAATGCGGAAGTTTTATGTTATTTTTAATCCCTGCTGCAGGTTCGAGTGTACTGTGACCAGTGGAGGAGGCCCCGGGCCCCTCAGCAGGAGGACAGTCCCAGCTCTAGCCCTCAGAAGACACCTGCACCTTCCTCCTCCTCCTCCTCTTCCTCCTCCTCCGTCCCCCCGACCCCCGTGATCCCTGTGCTGACCCCCAAGAAAAAGCTGGCTACTGAAATCCTTCGCAAGTTAAAGCTGAACAGGTACATTTGTTCTGTAACATGTTTCACATTTAAAGTCCCTTCTTGTGTGCTTTTTCATGCATGTTCTCCCCATGTGGGTTTCCTCAGGAGCCAAAGACTAAACTAAACTAAACTGCCCGTAGGAGTGAACATAAGAGTGATCTGTCCGCATGTGTCAGCCTTGTGATACACTGGCGACCTATCCAGTAGATGAGTACTGCAACCAGCGATTACTTTCATTATCCATTAATCTACTGATTATTTTCTCAATTATCCATCAATTGGTTAGGATATAAAGTTTGGTAAAACAATGAAAATTGCCCATCGCAGTGTTCTTAAGCCCACTGAAGTCTTCTAATGTCCTCTTTTGCCCTACCAGCAGTCTGAAGATAATCAATTTACTTGCAAAACAAGAAAAGGCAGCAAATTCTTACAGTTGAGAAGCTGGAAACATCGTATGTTTGGCAATTTTACTTAAAAACGACTACACCTCTAGTGCAGATAATGGATGTGATAAATATTCTTTATGGAGGGGTCTCTGCTGTCCTCCACCGTAGGGTCTCGCTATCTGAGCTGGTATTTTGATACCAGACGGTATTAAAGCCAGAGATGAAACTGTCTGGTAGTATACTCTTTAGAGGATGGGAGGTGAGACCTTTGTCTCTACAGGAAACGGAGATGAAGAGGGTCCCGGTGAAATTCTCTTCTGTGATGTGAGCACAGCTGTTGACTTGTCTCCACAGTAGAGCCATCAGTGTGCAATGGACCTTTTTCACAGCAGACATTTTGGTACGTCAAAGCAAGAAAAGCACAGGTGTAATAATTCACACTATGATGGATGTATCACAGGCAAGCCAGTTCAAGAGCTTGTTGCTGGCTCACCGGAGAGGCTTCCTGGGACATTTAAGGGAAAAGAGCCATTGTGGATTTTAGTAGTTCATCCTGTGCTTTTTCCTGCAACATGTCTCCGGTGAAAAAGGTCTGTTGCTACCAGTCGCAGCAGGTCAATATCCATTATATTTGATGTTGGACATAAGTTAAAGAGAGAGGGGGGATGGGAGTGATGGCATGGGAGAGTTACAGGTACATGGTACTCTATACATCGACTGCCCAACCGCCACCCCTTTCCCTCTGCAGTCTACTGATATACCGTACCTCTCTCTCGTAGGAAAAAGCTGACAGCTGACAAGATGGGCATTGAGATCACGTCCGACCCCGTGGCGAGCGGTGGAAAGGTTCAGTTCACTGTGGACCGTCTTAGGGAGCCATTCATCCTCAAGTTCCAAATCTTAAACAACGGAACAAACTGTGTGCACTTCACCTACTACACTGCCTTGCACAAGATGCGCTGTTTCACTCTGGAGGATCAGAGGAACGTGACCAGAGCCAATCCACTGTTCCTCTGTCCTGGTGAGTTAACTTCTCCTCTCTATTTAAAAAAATAAAACACACTCTGGAGAGGTGATTAATGCTCACGGCTCCATCTTTCGCTTTCTCCTTTCTTTCACAGGGGAAAGCTATGAAGTTATGGTTCGGTACATGCTGAACCACTATGGATATTTCCCTGCCACAATGTACTTTGAGTTCTGCCCAGACGTGCCAGGACCTGTGCCTTTTTGCATTGTGCGGGAGATGGAGGCGTTGACCAGGACCCCGCTGGCTGCGGAGCTGGGGCCCGTGTCTCCTTACAAACCATTTCAGGTGGTCACATACAAGCGTGTTGACACCGTGATAGTGGAGGGAGTACCTCCTGAGAGGTAAAAAAACGATTGTAAACCAGTCCAAGACTCACAGTAGAAATGCACTTTTGTACCTGGTTATTAAAGAGGAACAGATTTTACACATCATTGGGAATACTGCAGCATATATGAAAAAAGTTATATAAAGTCTGAAACATGCAGCGTCGATAAGGACTGAAGACTACGACTTTAAAATAAATAAAGTCTGGGAATGTGGAGTAAGTGAGATTTCTAGACCTCTGTAGCCTGCTCCTTATCTCTGCTTGAGGCTAGCGGCTCAAGGCTACATTAGCTGCTACTAGTATAACAAACCAGAATTTCCAACCGAACTGTCTGTGATCAAGTTGCATTGTGGGAAAGGTAGATATGGAAGACAATGTCTCAGATGCTGCTGTGTTGATTTTTATAGTTTTTAACTGTCTATTGTAAGCCTGACAATATTATAGGAGTGCGATTGTAAATCAATAGTGGAAAAAATCATAGTTTAACAGTGAATGTGTTGGAAAAATGCATGGAGCCAGAAGTTCGTGGACAGCCTTTGCAGGATTTATTTAAGTCAATACAATACAGTTCCAAGAACTCTTCAGAAAACCAAGTACAATCACAGAACAACCACAGAACCACTAAACCTCTATCGAGGCTTCTAGTCTTATACCTCTCATTGCCGTAATTTCGCATCAGCGGATGGCTAGTTATCAATTTTACTTACTATGTTGGCTCTGGGAGTTTCCAGTTTCGGGTCAAGGTGTTTTCCGTTGTTATTTTTGGGATTGTCCTTAGAGGACGTGCTCAGTGTTTACAGAACAGGAAACTGTTCTTAATGTTCCAAATATACTCTATTAACAAATGCGGCACAAAGGGTCTTACTATCTCCAAATAAATTGAGGACAGATTTTTTTCCTTAGCAGCAGGGAATCCATTATTACAGATTTCAGTACAAATATTTGATTTGGGAGCTAGTTGAAGCAATTTTCTTCTGTTGTAATTGAAAGTGATCAACAAATGGACCCAGAGTGGTTCCTGAAATTGTGTTTTCATGATTACCGTCATGATGTGTTTGTGTTTTGTTCTCTGCAGTTCTGTCGTCCAGCCTCTAAAGAATGCAGTGAAATTAGGAGATTACAAGTACCCTGATTACCTCAAGGAACTGGCTAAACAAAGGATGGAGGACTCTGAGTACCTCTCCTCAGCTGCCAGGCAGAGACTCCCATCAGTGAAGTGAGAGAATTACTTATTTATTCACAGCTAACCGTGCCTTAACTCCCTCATCGTCACGATGTTTGTGTGTGTACTGTATGTCCAGGGGTCTCCTCAACTCTGCCTTAAAGATGAAGACGTACTCCCAGCAATTTCACCTCCTGCTGCACCTGGAAGAGATACAGATGGAGGTGGACATCAGGAAGTATGACCTCCACGACCAAACCATGACTCAAGACCAAAGAAACAAAAAGCTGCTCACACTCAGAGTAAGGAATCCTCACGGTGCACATCTACTGTTTTATATATACTGAATCTACATGTTGTTGTTGATCTACTATAAGCTCAGTGATTTGTGTTTGGAAAGGACTAAAAACACATTGCAGGAACATGACCAACATTTATATTCTCCCACAGGTTCCTGGTGTTGCTGAGAATCGGCCATCTGTTCTACGAGGAGATTGTCTGAGGGTGTCCAAGTCTGAGGACAAGGTCCAGCCGATCACTGTGTACACTGGATATGTTCACAGAGTAGAGCTGGATAGCGTGAAGCTGGGCTTCTCGAAGAGGTAAGAGCTCGACTAAGGATGCTTGAAACCTCTCAGGTGTTGAATAAAGAACCTGACTCACTCCTCCTTCTATCTCTCCATCCCTGTTTCAGGTTGCTGCAGATGTTTATTAGCAATATGAAGTTTAACGTGGAGTTCACTATCAACCGGTACCCCTTGAAGATGAAGCATCGCGCGGTGGACTTGGCTGCAAAACATCAGCTGGAAGAGGTGCTGTTCCCATCTGGTGCAGCAGCGGCTAATCTTGTCATGCCTAAATTCAGGTCTGGTGCCTCTACACCTAAAGAACATGCATACAGAACACCAAAACCACTAACAGATGAAATATCATCTACAAACACACAAACCTAACCACTTTAAAGTATTGTATCTGTAATACTTGTAGTACAGAGCAGCTTAAACTGTCTGGCATTGGTGATAGAAGCATATGAACTCGTAATGGTGAGTGTGCGTGCTCAGCAGCCTTCGCCTCAGTTTTCTCTGGGCATTCATCCACCGCATCGTACTAACAGGAGGGGATACTGTTGGTCTAATGCCTTAAACTTGCCTCAAATGGATGTAGTAAAAACATTGGGGATTATGTTGGCCGAGGACTTGCAGGCAAAGCCTTGTTTTCTAGAACATATATAGTAGAGGTAATTATAATAATAATAATAATAATTATTATTATTATTATTATTATTATTATTATTATTATTATTTATAGAGCAGTTTGAAAAATCCATGTTACAAAGTGCTTCTCTAAAAAAGAAAGAAGTCATAAAATCAAAATTCAAACAGATTCAAAAAAAAATTTAAGAAAATAAAACACAAGCTCTAAAAATCCATTGTCACATCCAGGATGTTCAATCGTCAGCTGGAAAACAACCCGCAGCAACAAGCAGCGGTCCAGCGTATCATAGCCGGATCATCAAAACCTGCTCCTCATCTTGTTTTCGGGCCTCCTGGAACTGGAAAGACAATCACTCTGGTTGAGGCTATGAATCAGGTATGTTCAAGATTTGCTGTCGTTACTCTGTAATTGGACCCTGAAATCCATTTAACTTATGGCCTCGACACACTGCCCACCTCTGCAGCACGTGTGTGCATCACAAACGTCTTCAGTTTTATTTTGGCGCCCATGTTAGTCACTCTACCAGCAAGCTGTGTCCAGTTCCCAGACAAAATAGACAGTGAAAGGGATCTGTTCATAGTCATATCGACATTTTGCTGTTATCAGCAACATATACATCTTTCACTACAGTTTAAATGTCTATATCCGTACAATATGTCACAGACAACACCTTAACTCAACATCTCTTGTAGCTGTTTCAGATTAAAAACTCTTTAGCTTTTCTGTGCACTGAATACATTAATTTGTTAACAAGCCTTATTATTATTGTATTGTATTTATCACAGATAAACTCAATGTAAGATAGGGCCGGCAGCAGCAGAAACGCTCTCTGTGTGGACACCACAGGTGTGCGTGCCGCAGCCTACAGCTGTCACTATCCAATAAAAAAAAAGCCAATAAAAGGCCCAAAAATAACTTAAAAAAAAAAAAGATAAATACTAACAAAAAAATGTTTTGTTTGCACTGTAATTGTCTTTGATTATCGACATGAAATTTAGACTCATGTTTATAATTTGTTGGTGTGCAAGGAGGAGCTGTTCATCAATAAAACAAGAAACGGCCACAAAAAGGAATTTGATTTCCATAAATATGCTGAATGCATTATGTAAGATAGATCATACATAGTAGGCAAGATATTTCCTTCCATAACACTGGATGTGTAGACAGATAAAATGATAAAACTTCTCTGTGATGGAAATAAAGAAGTGTAAAAAAGTTAATATTAACTCAAACTATAATTAGTGTTTCCAAACCAGAACAAATTCAGAAATGCACTAAATTGTTCTTATAATACTTGATTTTATTGTTTATTCCAAGACACAACATTTTTTTCCTAAACCAACACTGTTTATTAAAAACAACAAAGCATAAAATAAATGTATCAATAATTCTAAGTGATGAATTTCACTTTGCTTACATCGACAGGTCAGCAGAGCGGACCCGTCAGCCCACATCCTCGCCTGTGCACCTTCAAACAGTGCATGTGATCTTCTCTGTGAGAGACTGATGGTACACATGGAACGCCATCAGGTTTACCGTTTGTACGCCAGCAGCCGAGACCCAAACACTGTCCCCAAGGACCTGCTGGTGAGCTTCAGCTGGCAAATTTTATATCCACAGGATAATCTAGTTACTGGTCGTAAACCAGCTAAGGTCTTATTGGTGGTAAACCTGCTTTTGATATCACACTCACTACACTCATGGCCACAAATGATTTAATGTGTAACCGGATGTCTGTAGGACCCAGAACATTGTGAGTTTTAAAATAGAAACCGAAACTGAAAAGCGTTTACATGTCACAGTGACTCAAGCAAGTACACCCTCACAAGATTCTTCACCACATTGATGACAATTAGTTTGACCTGAATGATTCATGATGTTTGTTGATCCAGATGTTGGGTTACTTGAGTCACCAAGTAAAGAACAGAAGGGCATGAAGTCAAAGAGACTGAGATAGATGAATAACTTGCATGCAGATGTTTTAATTTTAGGATGGATGGGAAATCTGTCACAGTTGTTTTTCTAACATGTGTCTTTTGGCTCTTTCAGAAACATTGTAACTGGGACCAGAGTCAAGAGGCTTTTGTGTTTCCAGATAAAGGAAATCTGATGAAATACACAATTGTAGTTACAACTATGATCACAGCTGGCAGGTAGGTTGCTTGCTTGCACACACACAAATTTGGCACTATTTGACTCTTGGACATTATTCTTTAGTGTTACACAGCATGTTGCAGAATGCAGAATTTCTGCTGTATGTGTCTGTTTTTCAGACTGGTTTCTATAGGAATCCCAGTTGGCCATTTTACCCATGTCTTCTTGGATGAAGGAGGCCAGGCAGTGGAGCCAGAGTGCGTCATTCCTATTGCAGGTAAATGCTGAATATCTGAACAATAGACTCCCGCACACTGTCTTCTTCACTTACAGTCAGACATATTTAATCGTGACAATGTTTCGGTCTTCTACATTTCTTGACACTGAGAAGTCCGTTCCACTTATGGCAACCCGCTTTGAAGTCTCATACATGCACAGCTTATTCTACCAACAGTTGAGTTTCAAACACAATACGCATCCAGTTTTACATCAAACTGATGGGCTATAATACAGAAGTACAATTTCCAGGACCATATAGGGTGGGAACCCTGCATATTTTAAAGATGCACACATACTTGTAGAGTACATTGATCATGCATCCATCAATCTGTCAAGCAGGATTCCTCAGATGATACAGGGTGTCTACTTTTGATAAAAGGATGATTTGTCTTTGTATCATAATCTAATAATAATATGTATGCAACAGTGCACTAAAATTTCAAACTATTTTTATTTGGATTATTCTGGTACAGAACAGAATATACTTGCTTAAAATAAGGTCTGATGATGGAGGGAAACTGCCTTGGTCAACTGGGGCTGTGAACAGATTTCTCCTTGGTCATTGTACAGAACTTGATCCAGATTTCACTTCAGTTCTGTCCATGTTCACATCTTTCTTTTTGCAAACCTGGCCAATGGCTGCAGAGAGTGTGCAAGACATTGGTAATTTCAAATCTGGAAGAAGCTTTTCACTACTTCCACACTGTGTATGGCACTTCTCAGGGAGTATATACTGACCTTAAACCAGACCGCCACCCTTCTTACACATTACACTGTTTCAGTTTAGGTGGTCTTAATGTGTAAGTGAAGCGGTAAAACTGATGCGTGTTGTTTCTGAGTGGTTGGATGTTCCACTTTGTTTCACAGGTCTGCTCAGTGCAGGGGAGGGTCAGTTGGTGCTGGCAGGAGATCCCAAGCAGCTGGGGCCGATCCTTCGATCACCTCTCGCACTGGACCATGGACTCGGTGAGACAGGGTTTACATTATTGTGTCCTGATGTATTCTATTACACACTGTGATAGTAGTTACTGTATTGCAGTGTTTACCACTGTTAGTTTAGTGTACAGATAGAGGTGTAGCATACAATAACGTGTGTCTTAACTTAACCACATGATTCAAGGATATAAATGTAATGCTATGACTATGATGTTCTTCAGGGCTTTCTCTGCTTGAGAGACTGATGATGAAAAACCCTTTATATCAGAAAAGTACAGACTCTGGACACTTTGACACCCGCTTTGTCACCAAACTGTTGCGAAACTACAGGTGTGTTTTTCAGTTTTCACCCCCGGTTGTATTTATTAGTTTAGAAAGCTGCTGTTTTGATTAAAGCTCTTCAGCATTCTTGTTTTTTTTCCCCTCTCAGGTCTCATGCTGCCATTCTGAAAATCCCCAATGAGCTGTTCTATGAGAATGAACTGCAGGTGTTTGCTGACCAGTGGGATCGGGAGGCCTACTGCAACTGGGAATACCTTCCCAAAAAGGTTTTTGATTTCTGATCAACTACAGGTTGAAGGGAAACTAAATCACTAGTCACAAAGAATACAAAAGATGCTTTTGAGTTGCATTGTGGGAAGTGTAGGATCCAGGGTTTTTGAAGTTTTACTTATTACTAAGGACTTTAAGTGAGGATATATCTGCAACTGATTTTAACCAATTTATTTAGCTAATCTGTCTTTTGAAAAGTCCTTCCAGTTTTGCAACACAGCCTTAGACTGTCACAGAAATCAAAGAGGAAAATTATTAATATCTCATTAGAAAACATGTGGCAAGTGGGGCAAAAATGGAATTATAGAAAAAAGCTAAACTCTCATTAGGATAAAAGAGGGAAGCCTGGGGAGGGCTGTTTAAAGAGTAATGCTTCTTTTATGACAGTTGAGCATGAAACACTAGCAAAAAGCGAGCAGACATTAAACAAAAACAGGAAATAGTGTAAACAAAAACAGCCAAAACCACAGGAATAACTGACAACTGCTCACTCTCACGTCACTACAGGGTTTCCCGTTGATCTTCCACGGGGTGCTGGGAAAAGACGAGAGAGAGGCCAACAGTCCCTCTTTCTTCAATGTGTCTGAGATTGAAGTTCTGGTCGACTACCTCACCAAGCTGATGGAAACACAAGGAAAGAAGGGTCTCCCCAAACTCTCTGCAAAAGACATTGGCATCATCGCCCCCTACAGGAAACAAGTGAGTCTGCACGGTGGTCACTTCTGTTTTTAGATATGTGGATAACCCGTTTGAAGTAGTTATCGGTGACAATGCTTAACTTTTCTCACAGGTCGAGAAAATCCAAAAGGCCCTTAAGTCCGTCTTTGCTCGGAATCGATGGAGTGATCTCACAGAGCTCAAGGTAAATACTTTACTCTCTATCTCTTAATCTTGTTAGGCACTCTGAAAGAAACACAACATTTTAAGTCTCTTCTGCACATAATCAGTAATCTGAATTTAAAAGATTTTGCTCGTCTCTTTCCTTCCATGCCCAAGTGTATTTAAACGTACGACAAGGAGTTTTTAACTCAGTCTTAATTTACTTTAATTTGATTCCTCTACATAAACAAACAATACCATCTAGTGAGAAGATTGGCTCGTTCTGTAGCTGCTTTAAATAAATAAAGATTGTGTTCATTCACAGCTATATTGTTTGCAATCATTTTGTATTTTGGCTGGTTTGTTTCTTTTAATCAGGTGGGATCTGTGGAGGAGTTCCAGGGACAAGAGAGGAAGATCATCATGATCTCTACTGTCCGCAGCAGCATCAACTACGTCAAGATGGACGAAGACTTCAACATTGGATTCCTGTCAAACAAAAAGGTTTTGTTGTATTCCTTCTTCTCGCCATATAAAGTGATACCAGCAAGATTTTTAAGATGTTTATTTTCAAACAAACATTTCTTCTTGTTTCTTTTCTTATGCGTATGTATCCACACTGCAGAGATTCAACGTGGCAGTGACCAGAGCCAGGTCCCTGTTGATAGTCGTGGGAAACCCTGTGATCCTCAACAAGGACTCCACCTGGAAGACGTAAGATGAAGCAAGGGACACAGGAAGTGTTTTAGTAGTGTTGGGAGACAGAGAAGTGCTCTTTCAGTTGCAGACATGAGTGCAGAGTCTTCTATTGAAACGTGATTGAAATTTGCATTGCGTTTGTGACCTTGGTAACAGTAGTTGACAAAACAATCTCAACTCAAGGTCCATTTAGCAGCTGTTTTATCACATAATAAGCTTTTCTTCCATGTTTGCTTAGTCTGTGGTTTTTCATTTGCAGGTTCATCAGCTACTGCGTGGAGGAGAATGGCTACACTGGATTTGACTTTAAAGATGCAGAAGGAGAAGATGACATTGTGTCAAGACTGGCAACACTGAAAATCAATGTGGATTCTGACAGTTAGTACAGCTATAAAAGTTGTAATTGCATGTGAACAACAATCATGTATTCAGGCTAATATCAGTTGCATGAAGCAGTCCTGAAATATTTTGCTTGTGAGAAACTGAACTTTTGTGTCTTTCTGTATTTGTCACAGGTCCTGTAGGAGAGGAGAGTGCCTTGCAGCAGTATGTAGACCCTGAATGGAAAAATGAACATTAACATTTCTGTTAGTCTACCAACAGAAAACAAAGAACCATTTGCAGTGACAAGATTATAAATTGAAGTACATAAGGATGCCCAGCATCTATTATTTAAGAATATATCCTTTTTATGAACTTTTAAGAGCAGTTTGCATATTTTGCGGCTCTTTTTTTTGATGAGAATGCCAAAATGAACTTGCAAATCTTTTGTTCTTGACTTTTTCATCCTTGTCTTTCAGTGGCTTTTTAAATAAAAGCTGCCACTTACGAACATTGCTGCACACAAGCAATTTGTTTTCTGGGTGACAAAATAAGAAGCAGATTATTGTATTTCTCAGGAATCAATCACCGTTTGTCTTACTGCTGATTGCACTTAAGTTACTCTCTTTAAATAATCTATTTCTATCAGATAATAACTGAAGACTGACAAAATAAATTCCATATTATACTGCACACTATCATGTCATAAGCTTCCTTCCTTTAATGTTGTCTAATGCCATAAAACCATATTTGCTGCCTCAACATTCTACAAGAATTGACCAATTAAGGCCAGTCGGTCTTGTCTCAAAAATAGTTTATTAACAATGTTCATGTTCACTTCAGATCAAACATTCACTACAACACTTTCTGTTTACAAAGCATTATTACAATGAGCTTTTATATAAATCTGGATCCTTTATTATTTCAAATACTTCCAGAGAAAGAAAGAAAAAGAAGTTACACAACACTGAGCAGAAGCTGTTCCCAAAGACGTGTGCATGTAGTGCATGTAGTGCGTGCGTGTGTGTGTGTGTGTGTGTGTGTGTGTGCGCGCGCACGGTAAAGACCCATGGTTTTCTCATGCATGCATTGGAATCATAAAGACAACTTTTGATTTAGCGCAACATTACCTGCATACACATTAACAGCAGTATTGTACATGCTCTTAGTGATATGTTCAACACTAGACCCTCTGCTGCTCTACGGGAATGCTTCCATCATTAAGCTACCGGCTGTGAAAGTTATTCTACTATCTCTGCCGACCTCTAATTCCCAAGAATTTCTTGGTGTTCTAGCTTGTTGAGAACAGTGAACATCAAGCCACAACTATGAAACGCATAACCCATGGCCCATGTTTTCATTGATAAAAATCAGAAGGATCTGAATCTCTTTATTCTTGATCTTGTTTGTGTGCTTGTTGTCCACAATAACGCACAAATTAAAACAGGGTATCCACCCCTATAAAGATTTGAGGTAACAATATTAAAATGGTGCTTGTGTGTGTGATTGCAATAAATGCCCCCTCGCTTCAAAAACGTAACTAGTTTTTATAAGTTATAGCTTCTCCACTGGATCACTCAGTTAAAACGTGTGCTTGGCCAGTAGAGGGTATAAAGTTGCATTACAGATGGCATTACAATATAATAGACACAGATCCCGCCAGCTGATAGGTTTGTTTCCTTTACTGGCATAAGAAGAAGGTTGCATGCAACATCAAAGATATCATTTTTGCCATACACAGTTCAACATCCACCCTCCTCTAGACATACAGCAACATGCAACCGAGGGAGACGTACAGTACATGAACAAGAAACAGAGGCAGAGAAGGGAATGCTATAAAGAGTGTGCCTGAGGACAGTCGCTGGGCCTTTCAAGCATTGTATATCAAGCCATTATATTTTCAGGTCAAATTCACAATCGAGTATTCTGAGAGGACACATAAGCAAGAACGGGGACCAGTGGACGGTTGCTGACATGTCTCCAAAGGCTGCTGTGACTACAATCTGGGATAGACCCTTGAAGATCTCCTGCTCCTTTGACTTGAGACATAAACTGTTTCTTGCCAAGCAGTGAACATCAAGAGCAACATAGATCAGGATAAAGACAAATAAACTCAATTTCCATCTTTCCACAGTTGTTCTCTAAAAACTTTTTGGCAGTAATAATACACAACTGTAAAACATCAAAGACAACCTTTATGGCAGCAGACAGATGTTTTCTCAGTGATGTTGAGGAAATTTGTAGTGTTAATGTAATTTTCCCATGATTCATTCTCGCCGTAAAACCGCATGACGTGGCGAAACCTAGCTTATCTGTCAAGATAATAAAGATGAAACTGACTCCATATAATCTCAATATTTATGTTATGAGGAACTCTCAACAGAAAGTTTTGGAAACTAATGACACATTTGCATAATAATCATTATAATCTTTAAGAAATTCAAAGAATCAAACTTTGTGAAACATGTCAGAAAGGGTCACTCTTGTCCTTATCAGTCAGTGTCAGGTTGGCATAGAGCAGCTGGTCTATCTGGTCTGGGAGAAAACAACCAAAGGCACACCAGAACAGAGAAGGCACCGGGGAAAAACAAACTCCTCACACACACAAACACACAACACACACAACTCAGCTCCTCTCAAACGCGAAGAATGTCGTCCGACTGGAAACATCCACACACAAAGGCTAAAAGCTCTAACAAGACATGATTTCCACGACTGGGCTAACCCGCACAGCACACGGATTCCAACAGCAGGCGTGACTGGCTTACTCGCATCATAGCAGAAGAAGAGCTAAACTCAAATCACTCACAATAAACAAACAAGGGAGGTTTCACCAGGCCTTGGCCTTCATTTCTGTTTCAGCTGCGTCATCTTGGTCCTAACAGCCATTGTGCATAGTTGAGTCATATTGGCTTGTGTCTTGATTGGCCAGTTCTCATCTGTCTGTCCTGGTCCACTGCACAGATTAACAATAGTTATGCGGGATGCATGTGAATAATCTGATCTAATACTCCCTTGTTGACTGTTTATCACATCACAGAGGCAGCTACCTTCTTTATCCCTCAGTGAGAATGGCAAATGTTGGAGGGAATGGTGCTGTTTCATGCCACCGAAAATGGCACAAGCAACCATTTGTTGTGCTGGACGAGTTGTCAGCTGCACTGAAAGCCTTTAGTTATTACTTTGCTCAGGTTTCACAATGACAACACTGTGTAAAATGAGCTACAGTACAATAGAGAGCCCCTCGGTTGAAATGTTAGCTAGCTGACAAACATGACAAGTAGAAAGTAAAAAAAAAAAAAAAAAAACGGAAAACAAAAAGGCACTAGCTCTTATGGTCAAAAAGATATCAACTTTCATTCTCTATCACGGCTACCATGATAAACAGAACTGAGACTAACAGGACAGTCTGGACTGTTTGGACAAGACCTTACTCATGAAGACTTTATACAAGCTAAGAAGGATGCTGCTCGCCCGAGCTCGTGAAGAACAATATTGCATACAAATATGTGCACCTATCACTGCCTCATTACATTACAAATATAAAGAAAAACAAGTAGGAAAACATTCTACATGTAAAGACAGATTTTGAGAAAAAAAAAAAAAAATCAACAAGGATCTTTAAACATCAATTTCTAACCATGGTTGTAATATAGACAAAGTTCATTTCCTGTATTCAGTTTGTTTGCGTTCAACTCATCTGCCTGACTGTTATCGTGAAATGCAAGATACAGTACAAAGATGCCATTTGGTAAAAGGTCAGTCCTTTTCGTGTGTTTTTCTTTTTCTCATATTGGTCAGTGGATTTTATGGGGGTCTGGAGTGCTCACAGAAGTGTGCAGCCGCCTCTCTTCTTGCGCTTGCGGACTTGCAGCGCCGCTCTAGTGGCCATCTCGAACACTTCCCGCACGCCATCCTTGGTCTTGGCGGAGCACTCCAAGTAGCCAAAAGCACTGATCCTGTTGGCCATGTCTCTGCCTTCTTCTGGCTTCACCGGCTCCTGCATGGTTAGATCAGAGATTGTGAGGAAAGGTAATCTTAATCCTTTGGGAGGGGTTGAATGTATATATATATATATATATTTAAAAATACATACTACCACTGCTATTATTTTTCACGCAAAAATGCCAAATGTTGAGCTTCTCAATAAATAATTATTAGTAGCAGACCTACACATGTTCAATAAAACCAAATAAGCTAAATTTGACATCATCTTGAAATGAGGTCGAACAGATAAAACTGAAATTGGAGCCTCAAGTGCGCTACTTCACTAACCCTCTCAGCCACATCATACCTACACACGTCGGCCCACCAATGTCTGCATGACCATGTAAAGTCCAAAACACTTGAACTGATGACTTTGTGCTACTCTTTGTGAAACGGTTCCTGATTTCTACAGAAAGGAAAAGCTGACAGTGGCGTCTGAAAGAGCTGGAGAGCTTTGTCAACATGTTGCTATTATCAGCTGGACCTGGAGACAGAGAGTAGGCCATAGAGGCATGCTGTGACACAGTAAACCAATATGTTGCTGTCATTGTAGGATGACTGAAAAGCTGCTGACAGCCTGTTCAGAGTGCTGTCACCATTTGAAGTTAATTTTCAGTGACAAACGGGTTAAAAAAAAAAGAGAAAACGGGAGGATTTCCATTTTTTATTACTGTGCTATCTTTCTTGTGGTTTTTTCCCCATTTTCTTACTTCTTACTCATCTTCTCTGATCATATTCATCTCATATCTCATATTGACATTCTGCTTTTCTCTACATATATAATCTCTCGCTGTCTATTCACTTTGTATGAGGATTCCAAGTCCGTGGTCCTGGAAGAGAGATCCATGTTCGCCTTTTTTCGCTCATTTAAGTGTTTTTGGTGCCTTCTGAGATAATACTGACTTGACTAGTTCACAAGGACTGAGCCCTGGCTCAACTTTTGAAGCACCATCCAAACTACATTGTCAAATACATGAGCTTATTTCTACTGTTTAACCTGTGGAGATGATAAAATTACCATGTTACTTTCCAGAATGGTGTAATTGGTTCGCATAGTATTATAAAAACCTGGTGTTTTGATAAACCTTCAAACTCGAGGTTGTATTACTCAAACCGGCCTTCCTGGATCATATTTTATTCCATTCAACCAAACTGCCCCGAACTCGGCCCTAAGAAAGGACATGATGTCATGGTTTCCAAGGGGTGAAAAAATATTGAGCAGAGTGATCAAAAACTGTCTGATGTGTAATGTACTAAACATGGGGAAGAAACACACTAGAATAATGAGTTCTCCATTTTTAAACATTGTGCATCAGTGTTTCTCTTGGCTGATGGTCTACATCTGCACGGTCAAAGTTGAACAACTTGCGAGTCCGCCAGGCCAGAGCTGGCTGGAGATTGCACAGAAACAGGATATGCAGGCTTGAATTTGTTTATAAAGCATGATTTGACAGAACCAATATTTGCAGGATGGAGGTGTAATGTGCTAACAAAGCAGCTCCTTGCGCTTTTTTATTGCAGTGCAGTTGTCAATCTGAATCCGAACCCCCGGAGAAGCAATACTTGTCATTAATATGTACATAAATAATTCACACAGAACCTCATCAAATTATTCAACCCTGCACATATCCTCAGTCCTTAGGTGCTTGAGTATTGAAGAGGTGCCTACTTGTGTCTGATTACCCCAATCTGCAGTTTATTGACCT